TGCACACGCGGAGGCCAGTTGGTTGTATTTTATGCCATTTACTGGAACTGAAATGAATGGTCAACAACACACTAATAGCACAGTGAACTTCCCCAATGGTCCACTACTCACTCTGTGTACTTTAACAAAATTCCAAGGTAGCCTTTGAACATAACCATCAGCACTACTCAGAAGAGAACCGGATTTGATGGCTTACCACAGCAGAGCGCTGAACAGTGTGTGGAATTTCCGGTTTCCCCTCTTATTTATAAGCAACCAGTAGGGGGCGCCAAAAACCACCCATCACAGGACGATTATGAAATATGTTTTAGCAAGAATTTCATCTGTATATCCAATACCCGTTACACAACGTGGTTAGACTAGCAGCACAAATTAGCAGACAAGTATGTGTTTGAATTAATCTGCAAATGATTAACTGTCTGAAGCCACTTAAAGGAACATAGGTTTGTGGAGTTCTCCATAGATATGGGATTTCTAGGTATTCATCTTTCATGTATTAGTATTTTTTAACAACTGCAGTAAACGCCGTAGATCGCCGAAATGTAAATGCCTCGGCCTCTCTGTGGAAGACTATTTACCTTGCTGCTCGGTGGCTGCTTAGCTTTAGTACTAGAACTCTTAAGCTTCAACACACTGTTCTCACTCTTGTTCTCTGTAAACATGTCCTAAGTTGGCTTAAAGGCTGTTTTCCTGCTCCTTTAGTTTTGTAACTTGTGTCACTCATTAGCTAGAGCTTTTATAGAGTTCTTTTACAACATGGTTTCAATTACTTTGGGATTACAAATAAATGAGATTGCAGATGATTAAAATGGAATGGCAGAGTGTTTCATTGTTTATTAGCTGTAAACCACAAGCAGTTCTCTTTAATTTCCTGCTTTGTCCCTGGTGCCTGAGCAGACTTACTGTCTTTTGGACCATTTCCAACATAACTTGTGAAAGTAATTTATTTTCCACTAGACCACTCTAGTTCACATTGCTAATATTTTTCATCCATGCCAAATAGTGTAGAAGACTAACTGTTCCCCATGGTAAAGCTACAGAGCCTGCAATTTCTCTCACCATAACTGCAGCTGAAATAATTTGCTATATAATCTGATAGTAAGATTGCCAAATAAATGAATTATGAAGTTGACATCCTTAAGTCCATACAATCTAATCATATAAAATCATTGTACAAGTTAAAATATTAACTAAAACATAAATAATTTTATCTCTTATGAATACATAACAAGCTTTCAGTTGGTTAGGATGGGGGGGATGACGAACAGTATTTAAATTGTTGTGCAGCAGTTTGTTGCACATGTGTTTGCGTTTATATGCTAACATAAATGTATACATGCATGTACATACATATAAGAGTGAAAGTCCTACTGTGCTAGTGCAAATGTGCTTATTTGTTTTCAGCTGTGTAGCTGACTGCAATAGACGTTAGATATTCACTGTGTTCACCAGATAGAAACTATTCTTATGTTGGAGTTTTTGTTCTTCATGCTCTGTAGCACCAACTTGAGGGTAAAACTCTACCCTATGACCAGGATGTGTTGGGTCGTTTTGCTGGTCCTAGACCTGTATAAGTCATAAATGGATGGAACGTCAATCCTGATGATCGTCAGACCTAATTGTTTGTTGCAGTTTGGATATGTCCCTATTTTGTGACTGATTCAAAGCAGTGATGTGCGGTGAGGTTCATAGCTGGTGAGGCACTGACTTAATCATAATCAGATTTACAAATATAGACACCCTGCATGTTGTTGTTTACATATGGAAATTTCAAGGATACGGACAACGCTGGAGGGCAAAAAGACTATTCTTTTACATACCATCCATAACTGTGCTGACGCGGTAGAATAATTCCATTAACTCAAAGAAACTTGGAAATGTAGGTATTATTAATTTAGTGCTATGCTCCACAGTAAAGGGAAAAACCGTTTAAGTACAACTAAACACCACTTCTTTCTTGTCCTCTGTATTGGCCAAGCTACACACAGACTTTTTGGTATTGCAAGTGCCGTTTTTGGTATTTGCTATAGCACCCCCTGCCATGAGGCAAGATGACTGCCTACCTCACGTCGAATCTGTTCTCAGCCGTTTATGATCAGCGCACGAAACATGTTACACACACACAGTTGATGACAAAAAACACTGTACATTATATAAATGAGCTAAATTATGGAAAATCAATTCATATATTAAATGTTTTTTAACCATTTTATTGGTGACGTGCAGATAGGAGGAACACGCTCCCATTGAATGGCAGCCAGCACAGTTAGCAAGAGGTTGCACAATCCAAGGTGAGGCTGAGCTCCCTGCTGCCTCACCAGCTGCGCTTCCGAGCATTTTAATAGGAAATTGCGAAACTTCAGCAATTGTGAAGAAAAAATAATCAAAATTGGTTAAGCGCAATGAAAAATACTTTATAGTACAAACCACAGGGTAAAAATATAAATATAAATGTTCTTATATATTATTTTTCCATGATGATAGGTTAGACTCTGCCTCCATCCGTCATTTGCACAGACTTTAGCAAGTTTTGCTGCAGGTGGCTCTGACTGGAACTAAAACATTCAGGATGCATGTTTTCCTCGAGGACCGACTTTGGGCACCCCTGGTCTAAGTGGATGAAGCGTAGACCCAAGTTGACTGCATCCTCTGGCGACCTGTTGACCAGAAAACTAAATTCTAGGGTGCCTGTGATGTCTTTCAAATGTTTCAGCACTTGGCAATCAAATGTTTTCATGACCACAGACATCAGGGCAATTAACCTGTAGGCGTTTAGTCCTGTGATGGTCTGTTTCTTGGAGTCTTTTTTGGTGTATTTTCTGTGAATGTCGGACTTTTTGTAGATGCATTATTGAGAAATTAAGTTGCATTTACCACCTATTTGGTTGCCCTCTTGAACCCCGAGTTGCAATTTGTTTTTTAAGTTTTGGGAAGGTAGTGGAAAGATTTTGGTGCATGAAGTGCCACAGTCTCGAAACATGTGCAAATCTCCAACTGTCAATGGGTGACAGGCAAGTCAGTCACAGGGCAGTGCAGCAACCCACAGAACACACTACCATGCTCACGCACGTACGCACGCACACACACGTGCGCACACGCACACACGCACACACGCACTCCTAAGAACATTAGCCTCAACTCTTTTGACATTAGATGTCTGTCCGTCAATTAAAAAAAAATCAAACCAAATATCCAATCATTTCTGTACGTGCCACTTTTTTTTGTTTGTCTTGACTGAAGCAAACCAGAGTGTATTGGACCATAACTTTAAAAATGAAGAATGAACCATACTGCCCCAGTACTATTATGCACAACTACTTAGTGCTGAATAATTAGTTAAAACCAGAAATTTTGTATTGCTATGGGCAGCATCTGGCCCATCCTTAAAGATCTTAGAAAGTTCATTTTTAATCTTATATTGGGGAGGGGGAGGGGGAGTCTTCTAAAATACAATTAAATTGCAGTACATCAATTACTCTGAGAATTTGGACAAATTTGAGTTTTTCAGCAGATAGAGGGATTATTTTCTATTCCACATTCTGTCTGTTGCTATTCTAAGCTCTTGCACACACACAATTTTATTTTCTTTTTCCTTTAGCTTCATATATAAAAACTGAATTATAGCAACAGAAAATTTTACCTAATTGAGGTACACCTTTGCACTTTTGAGATTTGCAGTGTATGAAACGGTGTGTGTGCTAAGTACTTAAAATTTTGATTTTAGCCATCCATGTGAAGTCTGTGAGAGGCTCTTTACATTATCTTCCTAGGTGATTCAATTACAAATGGAGGATTCTCTAGTATTACTATTACTTTGTTAATTTACCCCAAAGGTTTTATGAGGGGAGGAGAATGAGCATACTCCCTAAAACTCCTCCCCTTGGCAGCAATTCTCTGCTGCAGAGTTAAGTGTCAGCACAGTCTCTCCATTTAGACCTTCTTATGCTGTATTTCATGGTGGTAATCCATTGTCAAACAAAATAACTATTTGTTGGATTACTTGAGTTTTACTTTTATTGTGTAGTTTTTTTTTAAGAATACCATAGTATTACTCTATGTTAGCAGGATTGTTATTTGCAGCACACAAAAAGCTGGAGGGCATGAACACATTAGTGCTAATCAATAGCAGCTGCTTGATGAAATGGCAAAATGTAAGAATGTTGAAAAAGCCAAGGTCATCCATGCCAAATACTCTGTTGTTGAAACACTACTCTGAAGCTAATTTTTTGCTAAGAAAGCAAATTATGAACGTGATCTTTAGTCATTGTGTGGTAACTGATGCACATCATGTCTAATATTTATGTCCACTCCATTCAAATACTGCCAAGTTAGTCCTAACCTTTATTTTGTTTAACAACTACTTCCCGACTTGGGAATACATATGTAAATACATATTGGTGGAAAAATGTAGTTTGCCACCAATAACATTGCAGATATTGTCATTTGTATCTCTACGTCTAAATCTCATCATCCATAAGATGATGGATGATGTGTAAGTAAATATTTACACATTTCCCCATTTTCTGGATATTTTTATCAGACAACCTTCTAAAACTCATAATATAGTCCTCTTAAGCTGAGAAGATAGAGTAGGAGCTTCACTAATTTAACTAATTATTGTATTTATACATTGATAAATGCTCCCCTCTTCTCCATCCTCCCAAGACACATTTTCTTCTGACAGAACCTTTTTGCTTTTAGCTTCGGTAACAAAACAATGGACTGTTCCAACTTCAGCTTAAATCTGTCATGCTCGTTGGGGCTTTGGTACTGGCAAACTCATTGATGTCACTTTGTGAGCTTGAAATGCTCCTGGACCAAAGCTATCTAATGTACGTAATAAGGTTGGACGAATATATCGATCAGCGACAGTAGAGTGAACCCTTCAATGGGGAACTTTCCTGCCGCACCTCCTACTGGGCTTAGGGAAACCCTGTACAAGAAACTCTGTACAATTATTTTATTTTGTTGAGTAATGTGACGATATTTGTTGTTCTCAGGAGCCGTTTGAGGATGGCTTTCCTAATGGTGATGAGCTGTCGCCGGCTGAAGAGGCTGCTGCTAAAGAGGCAGCAGAGCCCAAAGGAGTGGTCAAGTTTGGCTGGATTAAGGGGGTGCTGGTAAGTCACTTTAAAAATTCTGGTTTGATTCCCTTGTATCTCTGGTTTGATTCCCTTGTATCTCAAGCATTTCTCATTTGAGAGTAGAGGACAGTGATTGATTTTTAAATCTTTGCCGAAGTAGATAAGATCAGAAGATAAGATCGGCTTCACATGTAAAAACTGACTAAATGTTTTTAGGTAACACTTTATTTGACGGGGAGTGCATAAGACTGACATGACACGGTCAAACATGAAATAACACCTGTCATGAACATGAAGGAGTCTTTATGAATGTTGCCATGACGTCATTCGGTAAATAATGACACTTTTAATGCAAAGTTGCTTTAAAGGTTGCCTTGAAAGTCCATTAAAAGTGCCAACTTTCCATTAAAATGTAATTATTTACAAATTAATGCAAAGTTGGGACTTTCAATGGACTTTCAAGGCAACTTTTAAAGCAACTTTGCATTAAAAGTGGCATTATTTACCGAATGACACTTCATGACAACAGTCATAGGCGTTCATAAAGACTCCATGTTCATGACAGGCGCTATGTCATGTTTATGACAGTGTCATGTCACAGTCTTATGCAAACCCTGTCAAATAAAGTGTTACCAGTTTTTACATCTCCCAAAATTAAGGAAATCAGCTGGCCAATAAATCGGTGCACCCCTAGTTCTGATATGCTGACAGCTTCAGTATCCGGACACCAGAGATGATATTCCACTGTAACTTTCATGGCTCCTCATAGGTGAATTCGCAATATTTGTGTTAAATAGAAGCAGCGCTATAGATTTACTTTGAGGCAATCCCTAAAACACTTTGCTTTCTTCTGTGACATGAAACATTTTAAAGAAATTAGCCAAGTAATAGAAGCAGATGTTTTTCATTTCTCTGTATGTGAAGGTGCTAGATCAGTGGTTCTTAACCTTTTTAGAGGTACCGAACCCACCAGTTTCATATGAGCATTCACTGAACCCTTCTGTAGCGATAAATAAAATATTATTTTTTTCCCCAAATTCAAAACATAGATCGTTAAGTCTTCTTAAAAGGTAGAGTCTCTGAGAACAGTTCTTCAAAATATAGTCAGTGCTTTCAGCAAAGTTGAGCTGACTGTCCAGGAATGACCCAAGGTATTTAAAATTTGCCACAGTTTCAACAGGTTGGCCATCGAGAGAAACTGGAACCACTTTAAGGTCTTGTTTAGATCATTTAATTAGCTCTACATTCTTAAGAGAATGAAAAACTAATAAATAAAGATTTTGTGGTATTCTGATTTAGTAATGTAATTATATTAGTTGTGTTACCACCCCCACGGCACTAGAGGCAGTAGCAACCCCGAAAAGATGCGACTAAGGAACAGATTTAGAAGTACACCGAAAGCTACAGAATTTGGTAAAAACTGTGAGCTTTGCTTAAGTAATTAAAGACACAAGTTCAAATCCATGCTGAGAGTGGATGGAGGAGCACTTCAATCAGTGCTCCTCCACAGCACTGATTGGTTAAGCAATGTAACGTGATCCTCTGCAGCAAGTGATGGTAAAGCAGGGCGCGTCATCACGACTTTACACAAGTGTGTCTTTACCTCCGGGGCAGAGGCTCCGCCGAACCCAGGTGAAGAACCACTGTGCTAGATTGATATGTCCAATACTTTTTTTTATGTAATGACATGGGTTCTGTGTTCCAGAGATGAATGTTTTTGTGCTAAATCTGTAAATCAGCCATAGAAAAAAGAGCAAGTGACTGCAAAGATGATGTTAAAACTGGGAAGACATATCTTTTACCTACTTGGGCAGGAAGGCCACGCAGAGGAGAAGAAGCCATGACTCACTCATCTTTGGAGCCATTTCTTTTTGGTCTGAGACTAAAATTAAAGTGTTTGGACAAAATTGCCATTGTTATGAAACTTTGAAAGACTGGCTACAAGACCGGAAACACAGTCCAAACTGTGAAATACGGGATGGCACGGTATTGTATTATTGCAGAAGAGACAGACTTAATAGACATCATGAGTAAAGAACATTATGCAAAAATATTATAAGAAAGTCTCAAAACACCAGCGAGTCTTTCAAATGGACAATAACCCCAAATTATGTCAAAAGCGGGTAAAAGTCCATGTGAGCTGAGCTAGAAGCTAAGATTTTATCTCCACTGTCGCTATGCATGCTCAGTCTGAGGGATGGCTGTAAAGTCAATGACACAATGCAAACGATTGTCACCAGTGCTCGTCCAGTAGGAGTGAATGACTCGATGCAATTTTCTGGGTTTCCTTTGATAAAAATCCTTTTTTAAACTGATGTTAATAATGAACTGAACTGAATGCACTGTTTGATAACTAGAATAGAATAGAATTTAATAGAATACACTTTCGTCATCCCAAAAGGGAAATTGCTTATTTCCTGACAAGCTACAATTTGGGATTCTGTATGATTGAATTTAAAAGACTTATTGTGAATTGGTGCTATATAAATAACTTGAACCGTATTAAAAACTGTGTGCAAGTGAAGAGGCCTTCAGCCAGTTCATTCAGGAGGATTAACAACATCATCAGGTATTCCTTTCCTCCATCTTATCTCTTCTTCTACCCTCTACAATCAGTACTATTCTCGTACACCACCTAGTGGTAGACACAATAATATGTTACTGCATAAATCTAGTGGAAGTCTTTCAAAGTCTGGCATTTTGAGCAACAAGAAGTTGCTGAAAGAAGTTAACTTCCAGGGTTTCCCCCGAGAAAACTTGCTAAGCCCGGTGGTGGGGGTGACGAGGTGGTCCACCAGCGGTCCACCGTTTGTTTTTTTTTTTGTATTGAAAGATGTTAAGGTGACAGGAAATTTAAAAATATCACTCGATAATTATACGTTATGGGAAAACATCGCCAGTGAAACACTACTTAAATCCACAATTAGTCTTAAAAACAACAAATCAAAATAGACAATTAAAATGAATATCAATTATTTGCACTTTTGTTTAATCCAAATTAAGTCAGCAGCTCCATCAGGCCCCCCAGGGCTTCAGGGGCCCCATAAATGCTAATATTTTAACACAGACCACAGATACATGAATGTAACACTTGTTTATTGAGATGATCAATGCTGCTAAATTTGATTAAATTTCAGCATACATAAATTGAAAGATTTTAAATTGCTTAACATTTAAATCTAAGATTTTAAGGAGCTGGCAAGTTTACTTTGTAAAAGTTCAAAGAACAATATTCATAGTTGGATTGCTTTGTTACCCTAGCTACAATCGAGAGACAACAGGCGCAAATCGTGACACCGCACCTACTAATGGCACTTCCGGTGGCAGGTGTCATTATGCGCCGCAAGTGCCACTGTTTTCGGGGCTAGCTGCCAGTGTTGTCACTGACTTCGGCATCTCATACTGGCACTTCCTCTGATACCTGCATTAGTGCCACTGTTTTCGGGGCTAGCTGCCAGTGTTGTCACCAATGTTCCCTCTAATTTTTCATGTGTCTGGGCATACACAAAAGCTCCCTGAGCACACTGAGGACCACTGTGAGCAACATCAGATGTGCACGCTGTAACCACACACACCACACTTTTCCCGCTGAAAGCTCACTTGGTACTTTGTCTTCGCTGCATGTCTTGCAGAGTAGGCCTTTCTCACTCGAAAAAGAAAAAAACTCACCCAGTTTCACCGCTTGTTCTTCTATTTGCACATACTCAGACAGCCATTACATCCTAAAAGAACCGCATTTCTTTTTTACTTTGTCTTGGTGAGCGGATGTGTCGCTGCCCGTTCGTTTCGCCATTATAAGGGGTTGCGTTTCTTAACTCCACCGCACTGTTGTTAGCAAGCTAACCTGCACAGCGCGTATGGGCAGGACACATAGAGCTATCAACGCTATGATTGGCTGCATAGCATAATTAAACCGTATCGTATCATTGGCTGAACATCTGTAACTCACTGCGTTACATTGAAAAATGGTACGGAATAAGACATCATTGGTCTAATTTAACATATTAGATTCGGTCTAATATTAGATGTTAATACGTTTATGGTGGATTTTATTTTATGCGCTGCATAGATTTTCTTGTGTACTGAGACTGTGCGAGCAGAGCGCGATTGCGCAGGCGCGCAGCTTAGAGGGAACATTGGTTGTCACTGCCTTTGTCTGACTTCGGCACTTCATACTGGCACTTCCTGTGACACCTGCCATTAGTGCCACTGTTTTCGGGGCTAGCGGTCAGTGTTGTCACTGACTTCGGCTGATCTCGGCACCTTGTACTGGCACTTCCTGAGACACCTGCCATTTAGTGCCACTGTTTTCGGGGCTAGCGGTCAGTGTCGTCACTGCCTTCGTCTGACTTCGGCTGACCTCGGCACCTCGTACTGGCACTTCCTCTGACACCTGCCATTAGTGCCACTGTTTTCGGGGCTAGCAGTCAGTGTTGTCACTGACTTCGGCTGACCTCGGCACCTCATACTGGCACCTCCCACGCCTCACGGACCGTTCTCGCCTATTTTCGCTGACGAGATTTAGGGCGGCCATCTTAGAGCAGTCGACTGCTCCACTCAGCGTTATACGTTTGACAGGCACAATGACGTATTTGAGCATTTATTCTTTCATAACACGCTGTTTTGTTACTGGAAACCTTATACTATTAAACAATTGTATTTTTTAATTGTATTATACATAGTTAAGCATATTTAAATATGCTTCGTGGGGAAAACGATAGAATAGGAATAGAATATTCTTTGGTGACAGCTTCTGTGTCAGATTTAATATGAATGAATTTATAATTAATGAAAGCAACGGTGGATCTGGCACAAAGTATTACATTTCCTCTTAAGTGTTGTGTTCCCTCAAAAAAGCAAATATGCCCTGGTCTTTTTTTTTATACAGTCTCAAATTTCAATTTCCAATAAAGAGCCTCAGTGAAAACATGTTGATAACTGCCATAAGGTGTCACTTGTGCCACAGGCTTCCGGGTGAGGTGCCACTTGTGCCACCTTACTCTGTAGTAACCTTACCACTGGGTAAGGTGGCACAA